CCATGTTTCCCACTCCTGTAACAATTCTGGTTTTGACATCAATCCAATACACCAATGGCTAAATTTGATCTTAATCTTTCAGGATGCTTGTAATGGCATCATTGTTGCTTGTGCATCTTCAGGGAAATCTACATAAAGGCCTTCTGGTGTACACATAATATTGGCATTAAGGGGACACAAGATATCTCTTCCCAGGAGATTGATAGGTGTGTCACTTAAGTATAGCAGTGGTGCTACGATGGTTTTGCCTGCAATAACCATATGGACCGGCTGTGTTAGGGGAACCACTTGAACTTTAATAGAGAAGCCCACAGTCTTGACAGCGGATGTGGAGAGGGGGAGTTGTGAACCATTTCTTCCAATACATGAGTAAGTGGCCTGTGTCTCCCATAAATTGATGTTCTTGATTCTGTATTTTGACGGTGATGGTGGGTTCATTTTGTGATTGGATTGAGACTACGGGTGCCATTAATTCCAACTCTGCCTTCACTTGGCCCCCCTATTGCCAGTCTGCTGCTGAGCCAATCCAATGATTGGTTGGGCAGTCTCTGTAACGATGGCCTGGTTGATAACATCCCCAACACAGCGCTTCTCCTCTTGTTGAGGTTGGTTCATTTGTTGATGTGATTGAGAGCGCCTGTATTGTGCCGGTGTCTGTGGAACCTGTGTTTGGGCCACATTGGAGTTTTGTGGTGTCATTTTTGTTGTCTGTGTTTGGGCCTGATCCACTATGACCACAGGGCTTGTGTTTTAGGTTTCTTCTGCTTGGTTGGTTCATTCCGCTGCAGCTGCGTCCGTTTTTTAGCCAGGTGTCTGTATGCTTCCTCTTTCCTGCGCGTCTATTTTCTGCAGTTTTCCACATGGTGTGTTCTGAGAACAGGTGCCATTCCATTGTCGTGAGTCCCACAACATATTCTAAACGTTTCTGGACTTCTTGTGGCATGGCCTTTTTCACCATTACTTTAAACAGGCTTTGAGTAGTGTTGTTGGCATTCCAGGAACTCCACTTGCATTGGAAAGCATGCATAAACTTTGATGGAGGCTCGCCATCTTTCAGTGAAAAGCTGACGGGAAATGGTTTTCCAGGCGGCTCACTATAACCCCATGTCAGGACACCTAGGGTATGATAAGTCACACACTCATCTTCCCATGGTCCCACCACTCCAGGGGGGCCTTTGTCTTCATAGTGGCCAGCCGCCATTTTGAATCTCATTCACCCACTCTCACACACACACACACACACACACACACACACACACACACACACATTAATTTTATTGTTAGCCTTATGGGACTTATAAAAGGCCTCATAGCATCGCCTTAATATAGCCTTATTGCTATACATTTTGTATAGTAGTTGCTCAGTTGGTGAAATTTCCAGAGTAAATTTATGCTGACTTGGATTCTGTATAAAGCTTTTGACTTGTAGGAACCTAAGAAAATGTGTGTGATAAATTGTATTTCAATCTCAATTGGTCAAATGACATCATTCTGTCCCCTTTAAATAAGTCTTCCACAGTTGTAATACCAGCACTTTCCCACAGAGCAAACCCATTATCGGTCATGCCTAGGAGAAAATCTGTATTTCTTTGTATTGGAGATAAAACATCAGTTCTTTTTTCCCATTTCTTAATCATGTCCCAAGCCTTTAGTGTGGATTTAACAATGAAATTGCTATCTGCAACCTCTACTTTATTCCGATTCAGGATAAATGGGAGACTAGCTAATTGTAATGGTTTACCTAAATTATATGCTACAATATCGAGCCAGACAGAGTCCGAGTCATTCCATACCCAATCCACTAGATATCAAAATTGGGAAGCCACTTGATACAATTTAATGTTCTAATCACGGTCTTATATTTTGAATATTAATATTTTTCAGATGGCCAAATGTTTTGAATGCCACGCTTAAGGTAGAACAATCACAACATAATGTAAAATTGAATTGGATTCCAGCCAATCAGCTTCACCCACGATTGGGTGAATCTTCAACAAGCTCAAGAATGTTGGAACCCCTCTTCTTCTTCACTCTTTCTGATGTTTCACTCGGCCTTGCCCCCTCAGTGGTCTTCGTTATTATTTCATCCAGCCCTCCATAGACTTGAAAAGCTTTAATAAAATTAGAGCCATTATTAGTAGTTGTGCGCACAATCTTGTCATGGATGTTGTACTCTGTGTGTACCGTATTTCTGTAATTCAGGTGAAAATGTGTGTGATCCTTTGTGTGTGATCCTTTGAGCTGTTTGTATTCTAGGGCAGCAGAACATCTCTCCATTTTTTTCAGGCTCTATCCAATGTGCTGTGACACCAATGAAACTCCGTCTGTGTGCTGTCCAGCAATCGGTAGTGGTAGCAATGAACTTGACCTCACTCATGGCAGCCTTCAGATTATTCGTCATTTCCAGTGTTGCTTTCTCAACTTTGTTTTTCATGGTACCTCGGGACATCACAACCACATCTGGTTGTAGGTCATGCACAAGAGTTTTAAAACCCTGCTGTTGGACAATACTGAAAGGGTGCAGACCTTGAACAACAAAGTTGATAATGGCATCATCCACACTTTTTTGGGACTGTGGCATTCGACCACGCCACGGGGTTCCCCTCACGACAGCCAGAGACAAACCAGTCCAACCATTGTGTGTTCAACATCTCTTTATCAATATAAACGGAAACTAACAAAACATTAACTCAACAGGTCCAGCACTATCTGCTGGACCTCCAGCTTCACCAGTCTCCCGTGTGTGTGTTCTCCCGAGTGTCTAGTGCGTCCTCCCGAGGCAGCTCTGCTGCCTCCTTTTAAAGTCTGAGGATCAATCAGCTAACAGCTCTCACTTGTGCTGATTGATCCTCTGTGGAGCAGGTGAAGGTGCTCTCTCCGCCCCTTCACCTCCACAGGGACATTCTCTTCATTTCCCACAGTTGATTGGATGGGCCAGAAAACGTATTTATTTTAACCCAAACCACCATTTTACCCCTTAACCTTCCCAAGAGGTGCTTTCCGGCAGATAGCCCTGAAGAGTAACTTTGCACGACAGCATTGAATTAAGGGTAATTGTTTAGTTTTTTAAACAAGCATTAGCATTAGCGCAGGTCTGTGTGCTGCTAATGCTATCAAAATAACATGTTCCCATAGCTTTGCTAATGTTGTAAATTGACTTACAGAACATGTTAAATGAGCTAAAATAGCTAATGAATAAACTGTATAAACTATAAAACAATAGTAATGACATAAATTAACCCAACAGAAAAAACATATTAGATTTAATAATAAGTTAACTGGTCCAAAAGCTCTATCTACTGGCTAAACTGGGTATTAAATAAACAATGGCAAATGGCACACATGAGAGTTAACTAAGTGCGTAATAAACACAATATAAAAACAACCCTGAAACAACAATGAAAACACACTCCAAACAAAAAACAACCTTAATTACAGGCGAAGGTCTCCACAGGTGTGTTAAGGTGTAAAAAAAGGGAGAAAAGGAGAAAAAAAGTCAGTCAGCCCAACTGTTGGCTGTGCCACTCACTGCTCCACTGGGGTGATTGCGTCACTTCCCTAAAACACACCTTCATAAGAAAAGCCTTTAATACAATAACAACTGAAAATAAACTTTTACCTGCATGTATTTTTCAGATTTGACAGAGAATTCTTGAATGCCAGAAGCTTGTGGTGTTTAGGTTGGCATAAGACAACACATTCGCCATGAATCATTTTTGGAGCTGACAGCATCAAAGTTCTCTTAAATAACGCCATGGATGTGAATGTCTTGCTTCTCCGAATCTTTTCCGTCAGCGACGGCAATGTTTCGTGGTTCACTTTCTTCTTCCATGTCACTGCTGCTATTTTATTTTTGGTATTTTATCACAAGCTGTACACTCACTCGACGCCTTCTCTCCATGGTTGACTTTCCCTCTCTGTGTTGTTACGTCTTTTACGACATGTCGTCATCCACGTTCTTGTCAGTAATTTCTGAGGTAAGATACTCTTTTCTTGGAGACCTCAGTGCTGTAGTTGGGGTAGATGTCTACCGTAAATTACCAAATAATAGCCGGGTTTCAATTAACCACAGGGTCCCCTTTAAACACCTGGTGCACATGTATATTTTGGTGAATAACCGCCGGTTCCAAATAAATGCCGGGTCTAATTTATTTTTAAAAAAATCAAAAAAGACATGACCACTGACACTGCACGTTTTTCTTCTTCGCCTTTTCACATATTGTGCTTGCTTTCTGATGATCGCCATGGCTCCGCTGCAGCAAAAAAAAAAGATTTGACTTGGAATTCAAACTCTCTGTTGTAAAATATACCGAGGAAAACTTTTCTCTGTCAACCACAAGATAGTGAGAGATTGGCGAAAAACTAAAACTGAGCTTCAGCGTCTGTCTGAGGAGGACACCAAAAGAGCCAGGCTGCCTGGTGGAGGTAGGAAGAAGACCAGCGAGGAGCTTGAGATTAATATGGGTTATCAGCAAACGGGCACGCAACGAGAGTCTCCTGATAAATGATCAGGGCGATGGCGAAACAAGACAGCTGTGAGTGACAGCAGAGATGAGGAGTTTGCCGCAAGTGCTGGTTGGCTAAATCGTTTCCTCCGCCGCCTGTCTCTTAAGGGGGATCTGTATTCTGGGATCTGTCGACAACTGGAGGCATTGTAAAGGTCTGTCAATCTGATCCACATGGCTTCGTTTCTGTTTATCTCTATTTGTTTATGAGAGTAGCAAAACATAAAGTACACATAAACTTATTTGTTGATTAAAAAAAAAGCAGTGCTATTCTTTTATGGTGACAGAATGTATTATTTACAAGCACTGGCAACAATGAAATGCAGGTTTTTCCCTTAGCAGTCTATAATTTCACAAACTGAAGAGAGGTCTACAAAAGGTACACGTAGATGATTGTAAATGGTCCCTGCTCAAAACAGCTTTGCGACAAGGGCTATGTTATTATATATTATGTTATAACAAGAACACATCACAATATCAGCAAACTCAACACAATACAGAGAAAACTGATTTTATTTTGAAATGGTAGGTCTCTGTGCAGATACATGTTTGAGAAAAATCACTAAAACATGGTGATATAATGAGTGTTTGATCATGAGTCTGTGGTTATTCAAATTAACTTAATTTTACTGGAACCATCAACTATATTTAGACTGTTGTAAGGACACAGATCTTGGGTTTAAAGGCGCTTCACAGCATCATGGTGAGGAATGAGAGTAGCTTCTCCAATTGCTCTTTTCTCCAGCCATTGCTCCAGCTCGTTTGTGGTTAATGTGAGGTTAGATTCCATATTTTTCCTTCAACTTCTCCACTAGCTTGATGTACTCGTTCATGGCATCCTCTTTGCTCTTACCTGTTAATGCATTTAAGTAAATACAATACAAAAAAATTATGAATAAATATCCACTGCTTCCAACTTGAAATTATAACTGCCTCCTTATTGCATGCAGTAGGTAGCCCTCAGAGTCCTGCAGGTGTCTGTCAAATGAATCTTAATAACTGGTTTGAATATTCACCGTAGTCTGGTCCACTAGCTATCAGGAATTTGTTTGGTTTTAATGAGACTGAGTAACTTTTTTAACAATTCTGGACAAATTATATTTGATGGAATTACATGTGTTTAGGTTAGGCAATTGTGCTTGCATAGTTAACAGAAACACAACCCCAAATCATGTCCTCAGGCTGTTTTGATCCAATTAAAAAAGTGGACATGTCAACATGGATATTGTTGTGTACAGTGTAGTGTAACTGGCCTCAGCTGCTTTCTTACTGCTGTTTAAAATGTGGTGGTGTTTCTGTTCTCCCTCAGGTTAACCACTGTTCCATCATATGCACTTCCAGGGGATTCCTCCTGTCGCCACATACCAATTATACACCTCTGTCCTCATGGCTGAGAGGATAAGAAACCCTGTGCAGTGTTGCCAGGGGCGGCTGAGATATTTACAGTTTCTCGTGTCATAAGTATCAAGAAATTATTGAATTCAATGAGACAAAGAATGAAATTGGGGTGAATACTGGTACAGACTGAAATAGGTATGATTACTTGGAGATTATACTAATTTACATTTAATTTCAACACTTTGGACATAACACCCACACACATGTATCTTTACACATTTATATATTTTTTCCTTAGTTCTCAATACTATTTTTCTCTGTGTGTGACAAATGAAATTTGGAATTTGAATTAATTCGACCAGCAAGGGACAGTGTGAGAGGGGACTACAATACTGATAATTTGACTGATACTCCTTCTTCTTTTCCGAGGACATCAACATCCTCGCACCCCTACCCCTTTTGGATGTTGCCAGTTCATTGCATCACTAAACATGACAGTATTGGCTATCAATGTATTCAGAAAGTTAATTTTGCAGAAATACCATTGGTTGCTTTTATTTCTTATGTATTTAGAAAGAGAGTAGCCTAAACACAAACCGTCCAAAATGGTGTTGATGTTGCTACCCAGCTTGGGGTAGCATCTGAGACTTGGATTATACCAGTACACCCCTGCTGCTCTCTCCTCAGCCCAATCTTTCACCATTTCACTCAGAACCACTGGCAGAGGTGGTGGTGCAGGTCTACTCATCACCCACAAATGGAGTTTTTCTCTCTACCAGCTGTCTCCGATTCAAGTTCTTACCCTGGTAACCTCTGCCTGCCCAACCACCAGTCCCCTTGACCCCATCCCTTCTTACAATCTCCAGTCTATTGCTCCCAACCTTCTTCTTTTTTCTCACCCATCTAAACTAGTTTTTTCCCTAACTTTCTTAAAGAGGCAAGAGTGAACCCTCTCCTCAAGAAACCCACCCTCAACCCATCTGAAGTAAACAACTACAGCATCTCTCAGTGGGTGTCTGCACACCACTTGAAAATCAACCTTGACAAGACTGAGCTACTTTTCCTTCCAGGGAAGGGCTCTCCCACCCATGACCTTACTATCACCATCAACAACTCTGGGGTAGCCTCCACCAAGACACCTGGGTGTGAAACTTGACAGCCAACTCTCCCTTATCACCAACATTGCTGCAACAACCCAATCGTGTAGATACATGCTGCACAACATCAGGAGAATACATCCCCTTTCACTCAAAAGGCGGCACAGGTTCTTGTCCAGGCTCTTGTCATCTCACGCATAGACTACTGCAACTCCATCCTGGCTGGTCTGCCTGCTAATGCCATCCTACCTCTCTAGCTTATCCAGAATGCAGCAGCTTGACTGGTCTTCAACCTACTTAACTTCTCTCACACTAAACAACTCCTCTGCTCCCTTCACTGGTTACCAGTGGCTGCCGTATCTGCTTCAAGACACTAGTACCTCGGTACCACGCAGCAAACGGAATGGGCCCAGCCTACATCCAGGACATGGTTAAACCTTGCACCCCAGCCCGACAACTCCGCTCTGCATCCGACAATTGGTTTGCTGCTCCCTCGTTGTGAGGGACACCTAGCCACTCAACAAAATCACTACTATTTGCTTTCCTGGCTCCCAAATGGTGGAACAAGCTCCCCATTGACATCAGGACAGCAGAAAGTCTACTCATCTTCGGCTGCTGGCTAAAAACACATCCTTTCCAACTACACCTTGGCTAAGAAGATGATGGTCTAATAATCATAAAAATAAAAAAAGTTAGTTGCACTTACATGTAGCACTTTGTAGTTTGGCTTTTTTGAAGCTAATGTACTTAAATGATTCTTGCTGTTCTGGGTTTGTACCCTCATGGTTGAATGCACTTATTGGAAGTCGTTTTGGATAAAAGCATCAGCTAAATTAAATGTAATGTGATGTAAATCACAGACAGATTTTGCCATATTTTAAAAGCGAAAGGATTACACCTGACCTTTCAAGTGGATGTTAGCATGGAGCTAACCATTTCATTAAAGGAAGTTGCTTTATTATAAACCAATTTTTCCTTGATGTACACCATCTTGAAAGTAGGGTCATCACTTACAAAACGTTATTTTGGCTATTGCAGTTACTCAATACTGCACAGTGTGACCATCTGGCTAAGCATTGTTTGGTAATTAGCTGTCACCGTGTGCTGAAATCTTTGATTTGGTCTGTGATTTTTTTCTACATTTGATTGCTAGATGGTAAATCTTGCTTTAGGCTTGACATGTCCATCTCTTAGAAAAAGAGATTTCAAGCTTTCAAAAATTGTATAGCATGTGCTAAATAAGCATTTCTGGGTCAGGTTGTACCTGTGTGTAACAAATGCACCTACACCTTACGCACAGCAACTCTCTGCTACTGAAAAATGTGTGCTTCTTCAGAAATACTTTTGTTGTGGAGGGAGGAACTTTTCCAATATGAATGGCTTCCCTCAGGACTCAGGAGAGAAGGGCAACCCTCTTTTCCCAGGGCTGTTCAGCTCCTCAAATCTTAACACCTCCTAACACCACCCAAACACACACTTAAGTCATATACTCTTTTTGCACTCTCACCCCCAAGGACAGACATTCACTTACATACCCCCATCCCACACAGACTTTCAAACTTATACTTAGTCATCTGCTTTAGATTCACTTATCAGCAGCTATATTTATTCATCTATAACACAATATATTTGTTAATATGCCACAGAAGTTATTCCTCTGCTGCTACCAATTCTTTAGATACATTCTTCATTATCTGTATTCACCTTAACGGTTCATTATCTGTGTATATATTTATCTGCTGCATATAAATGTATTCATACTCAACAGTATTTATTCATCTGCTGCTCCTGTAGGTATATTCTTATTCACTTGTACATAATCTGTCTGGACTGATGTCATGATTTTTCTTTCTTGTTTTTACTTGTGTTTTGACATGCTCTATGTACCTCGAATTGCCCTCTGGGGACAAATCAAATTGTTCTGAATTTGAATTATTTCCATTGGATTTTTCTAAAAGTAGGATTGTTTTGCTGATGCAGACATGGTTGCAATAATAGATATGACACTATATCACAAGTTATTGGTTATTATTAGTATTGGTTTATTCTTATTGGATTTTTTTCCTTCTCATTTTTAATGAAGAAGAAAAGGAAGAAGATGATTATGATGATGATGAGTCTCCACAGTCCAGCCACGCAATCCAAAGAAAAGAACATCATGCATGTTTCATCAGCGAGTAGAAATAGTAGTAGTAATTTCACCTGCCTTGGTGCAAATGAGTGACAACAGGTGCAATACAGAGGCAAAAGCAATACAACCCCTCAAAGGGGAATGGCTTTGTATCTGGTAGCCACAGACAATTTCTCTTTCCTTATCCTTCCTGAATGATTCTTCTCTAGTTTTGTGTTCTGCTAGTGCCATTATCACTACTGGTAGGATGAGGCAGTACCTGCAGCCCAATCAGGTTGCACAGGTAGTCCAGCTCCTCTAGGATGCCACATCCATACCTGCGTACAAGTTTTGCCTGGTCTTTGTCATAGCCAACAGTACACTGACCGCTGTTAGATACTGCTGTCTGATTGTCAGACCTCACGCTGGTGCAGTGGGCCCTGGGTTTCTTCTGGTGCTGGACAATGTACCGCCACAGACTGTCCAGGAGCTCATTGATCACCAGATCTGGGAGGAGATCCCCCAGGACACCATCCGCCTACTAATCAGGAGCATGCCCAGATGTTGTAGGGAGTGCATACATAAATTTTGACTGTTATTTTGTCATTTTGTTCTCAAGAAATTATACAGTGTACTATTATTGTGATCTACTGTATTGTCCCATGGTGTTTTCATATTTGCTTAGAACTTCAATTTGGTCAAGTGATTTATTCATTATTCTTATTTCTTTATATATATTGTTTAGTGAATTAAGATTATTGTGCCAGTTTCCAAGAGTGAGATATTACAGTTATGCACATTGGATTACGTTTGCGTAAAACTAGTAAAAAAGTTGGAACTTTCAAATTTGTAATTATTTTAGCTCCAAGAGATGACATACCGTAAATTACCAAATAATAGCCCGGGCATTTTTTTTTTCAATCACTTAACAGACCAGGCGTTTATTTGGGACCAGGCGGCAGTTTGGGACAGGCGTTTAATTTCTTCCTCACAAAATTTTTTTTGCTGCACCGGAGCCATGGCGATCATCAGAAAGCAAGCACAATACATGAAAAAGGTGAAGAAGAAAAACGTGCAGTGTCAGTGGTCACGTCTTCTTGGATTTAAAAAAAAAAAAATTAGACCGCACATTTACCTGGAACCGGTGGTTATTTATCAAAGTATACACCTTCACCCGGCGTTTAAGGGGAGCCTGCGGTTAATTGAAACCCGGCTATTATTTGGTAATTTACGGTATATCAACATCAAGAAAGAAACACCTTTAGTCTCAGAATATCATTTGGTTACCATATGTCCATTTTGAGTTGG